GCGGGCAAAAAATCGCCGAAGAGACTTAGGCTATGGAATCCTGTTCCTGCCATCATTAATCCGTCTTGGGTTGCAAAGTTGGACCACTGTTTGAAACCAACCGCTGCCGGTTCCGGGAACCAGGGTTCCGGGCAAGGTTCCGGAACTCAGGGTTCCGGGAACCAGGGTTCGGGGCAAGGTTCCAGGTTCCGCAAACCAGACTTTCAAGCAAGGTTCTGGGAACAATGGGTTCTGGCTACCTTTTGGGTTCCGGGACGTCAAGGTTCCGGGATCCCCAGGTTCTCGGCGCCAGGAAGGTTCCGGGCACACTTGGCTTTCGACAAGGTTCCGGGAACCTTACCATGGTTTCGAGCGGTTCTGGAATCACCGGAACACCAATTTTGAAACATCCTGGAAACCCAGAGTTTGGGGAACGAGGGTTTCGGCAAGGTTCCAGCAACACTGGGTTCCGACAAGGTTCCGAGAACCACCGCGGATGCGGACCCACAGTTTGGATATACTTCCTGGATTATGCCACAGGTTCCGGACAGGGACAAGGTTGCGGAACAACAATTTTCAAGAAGCCCAGCCCAGGTTCCAGAGAACCAGGGTTCTGGCAAGGTTCCGAGGTTCCGGAAACAACCCAGGGGTCGGATATACGCCGTGGGTTGTACCAAGGTTCATGCTACGGACAGGGTCCCAGAAAACCAATTTTCAAGGAAACCAAGGTTCCAGGACCATATAGGCCCTGTCAACGAGCAATCGCTGACAGGGGGGGGCACAGCGTGACAATAAATCAGCGCGTCTCGGTTCCGCAAACCCAGGGTTCCAATATACGCTGTGGGTTGTGCCAAGGTTCCGGAAACGAGGGTTCCAGGAAGACAAGGTTCCAGGAACACAAGGGATTCCGGAAATCCCCCAGCCAATCTTGGGTGCTTTGTGGCGGGTTCCGCACATGCCGATTCATGTTCGTTTGCTCAGTGGACGCACAGCGTCGGTCGACTGACCTGTTCTGATGTTGCTGTAAAATCTTCTGTTTGAACTGTTCCGATGTCGCATCTACCAAAGCACATGCCACATCAAGCAATTAAGTTCGATGCCTTGGAACACCTAAATATTGGCAGCAAACCTGTGTGAGGCTTCTCGAAGCCAGGTAGATGATTTTTTAAAGCTAAGTGACCAAACAGCAACACACAATGAAACTTCAGACACAGTTATGACACAACAACCAAGTATTGACATGAAACTAATTCTGGAATCATGATGGACAATTTGGCCAAAACCAACTGTTTCACCAATCACTTGCGCAAACTGACCGACGTTGTCCAAGCACGACAAGATAATCCCAAACCAACACACACACACACAATTTTGTAAACACTTAATGACACACCGTGGTCTGCAAATACTGCCATTCGTTTGTAACCAAATGTATGTAAATTCAACTATGCGCGCTTTCTTAAAGAACATGTCTCATCTTGCCTTTGGTCCAAAAGGGGACGGGGCAGGGCGGGCAAAAAATCGCCGAAGAGACTTAGGCTATGGAATCCTGTTCCTGCCATCATTAATCCGTCTTGGGTTGCAAAGTTGGACCACTGTTTGAAACCAACCGCTGTTGGGGATCTACGTCGGCTTATGTTTGCTTGTGTGTGTGGAACATCTGTACAGATGAAAAACCTCCTTTGGATCTCTGGTGTTCTATTGATTAATCTGCAGGGGGACCATCCATGTACTGTGTGCGATGGTCCAACGAAGCGGCCACAGTACACGGCTCATCACCGTGACGTGCCTGCCTATTGATGTTTTATTCTGAAAATGGCGAGGGGCTAAGCCGAGAACCCCAGCAATGGATTTTGAATTTTACACGGTTGTCGCAATCTGAACTTATTTTCGACGTTATTTCCTACTTGGTTCATGTGGTATTCTTCGAGATGGCGAAGGGCTAAGCCGAGAACCCTGACATGGCCATTTATTTGACGTTTTGGATTATGGTTTTGTCTACGTTCAACGTTTTCGGAAGACCATCTATTTATTCGCGATTTTCATCGAAGAGATCTACTCTAGGTCCATGTTGCTAGTCTGATTTGCACGTTAAAGGGCTCAGTCCTGATGGATCTCCTAAAAGGATCTAAAAGATCCAATTTTGTCTAGTGTGTGTTTGTTTGTTTTTATGTTTGTGTGCTTGCTTGCTTGCTTGCTTGGTTGCTTGCTTGCTTGCTTGCTTGGTTGGTTGTTTGTTTGTTTGTTTGTTTGTTTGTTTGCTGGTTTGTTGTTGTTGCTGTAGCTGTAGTGCAGTGTAGTGTGGCGCGTTTGTGGCGTGTTTTTCACATTTGACTTCGAAATGTGCTTCGCGCCACAACGGCATGCACTTTTTCGACATCTCAACGTCCAAAGCTGGCCCGAACGTGGTGTGCATTTTGACATCAAAATGTGCTTCACGCCACAACGGCGTACACTTTTTGAACATCTCAACTTCGAAAAGTGCTCCGAACCCGGCAGTGTTTGACAGTTTTGACTTCGAAATGCGCTTCGCGACACAACAACGTGCACTTCTTCAACAGCTCAACTTCTACAAGTTCTCCCGAGCTGAGGTGTTCTGTGCATTTTGAGTTGCAAATGTGCTTCGCGCCACCATGCCGTGCACTTTTTTCAACAGCTGCCTAAAAGTGCTCCGGACGTGAAGTGTTTTTAACCCAAACAGCTCTTGAGCTGTTCTCAATTCTTGCTAGAAATGGCCTTTGTTCTCTCATGATTTGCTGCCCCCTCCTGGTTCCGGCTGGGGTTCCGGTGCTTGTCTCCCTTCTTCTCTCTTCTTTCTTTCCTCAGGAAAGGGGTTCTGTTCCATCATGATTTGCTGGTTCCTCCTGGTTCCGGCTGGGGTTCCGGTGCTTGTCTCCCTTCTTCTCTCTTCTTTCTTTCCTCAGGAAGGGGGTTCTGTTCCATCATGATTTGCTGGTTCCTCTTGGTTCCGGCTGGGGTTCCGGTGCTTGTCTCCCTTCTTCTCTCTTCTTTCTTTCCTGAGGAAAGGGGTTCTGTTCCATCATGGTTTGCTGGTTCCTCTCGGTTCCGGCTGCGGTTCCGGTGCTTGTCTCCCTTCTTCTCTCTTCTTTCTTTCCTCAGGAAAGGGGTTCTGTTCCATCATGATTTGCTGGTTCCTCCTGGTTCCGGCTGGGGTTCCGGTGCTTGTCTCCCTTCTTCTCCCTTCTTTCCTCAGGAAAGGGGTTCTGTTCCATCATGATTTGCTAGTTCCTCTTGGTTCCAGCTGGGGTTCCGGTGCTTGTCTCCCTTCTTCTCTCTTCTTTGGTTCCGGCGCTTGTCTCCCTTCTTCTCTCTTCTTGGTTCTGTTCCATCATGATTTGCTGGTTCCTCTTGGTTCCGGCTGGGGTTCCGGTGCTTGTCTCCCCTTCTTCTCTTGTCTCCCTTCTTCTCTCTTCCTTCTTTCCTCAGGAAAGGGGTTCTGTTCCATCATGATTTGCTGGTTCCTCCTGGTTCCGGCTCGGGTTCCGGTGCTTGTCTCCCTTCTTCTCTCTTCTTTGGTTCCGGTGCTTGTCTCCCTTCTTCTCTCTTCTTTCTTTCCTCAGGAATCAGGGGTTCCTGGTTCCATCCTGATTTGCTGGTTCCTCCTGGTTCCGGCTGGGGTTCCGGTGCTTGTCTCCCTTCTTGTCTCTTCTTTCTTTCCTCAGGAAAGGGGTTCTGTTCCATCATGATTTGCTGGTTCCTCCTGGTTCCGGCTGGGGTTCCTGTGCTTGTCTCCCTTCTCTCTTCTTTCTTTCCTCAGGAAAGGGGTACTGTTCATCATGATTCGCTGATTCGCTGGTTCCTCTTGGTTCCGGCTGGGGTTCCGGTGCTTGTCTCCCTTATTCTCTCTTCTTTGGTTCCGGTGCTTGTCTCCCTTCTTCTCTCTTCTTTCTTTCCTCAGGAACGGGGTTCTGTTCCATCATGATTTGCTGGTTCCTCCTGGTTCCGGCTGGGGTTCCGGTGCTTGTCTCCCTTCTTCTCTCTTCTTTGGTTCCGGTGCTTGTCTCCCTTCTTCTCTCTTCTTGGTTCTGTTCCATCATGATTTGCTGGTTCCTCTTGGTTCCGGCTGGGGTTCCAGTGCTTGTCTCCTCTTCTTCTCTTGTCTCCCTTCTTCTCTCTTCCTTCTTTCCTCAGGAAAGGGGTTCTGTTCCATCATGATTTGCTGGTTCCTCCTGGTTCCGGCTCGGGTTCTGGTGCTTGTCTCCCTTCTTCTCTCTTCTTTCTTTCCTCAGGAAAGGGGTTTTGTTTCATCATGGATTTCCTGGTTCCTCTTGGTTCTGGCGGGAGTTCCGGTGCTTGTCTCCCTTCTTCTCTCTTCTTTCTTTTCTCAGGAAAAGGGCTCTGTTCCATCATGGATTTCCTGGTTCCTCCTGCTTCGGTCTGGGGTTCCGGTGCTTGTCTCCCTTCTTCTCCCTTCTTTCCTCAGGAAAGGGGTTCTGTTCCATCATGATTTGCTGGTTCCTCTTGGTTCCAGCTGGGGTTCCGGTGCTTGTCTCCCTTCTTCTCTCTTTTTGGATTGCCTCGTATTTGTACGGTTGAAGTAATGAAGGAGCAAAACAGAAGACAGGAGTCTGCCAGACAGTTCCATGAATTTTGAATTGCACATGACCTTGGTGGAAACATGCGTTGTTGCTGTTTGGGGTCTCGGCTGGTGTAATTTGTTTTTTGACTTCCAAATCTGCTTCGCGCCACAAGTGCGTGCAATTTTTGATTTCTCATCTGGCCAGATGGTCTCGCACCCGCCGCTTTAGCGAGCCTACTTTTCGACCCTCCGAAGCCTCAAAACATTGGAAAAACACAGTGTTTCGCCGATTTCGCAACTTTTATACCTTTTCACGCGCCTGCATCTTCTTTCTTCTGATTCTTTCTCTTCTCTGATCTTCTTTCTGCTTCCCTTTTCTTCTCTGACTCTTCCCACCTCTGCCTTTTCATCTGTGCATATTGTCGGAAGTTTGACTTCTAAACTTCTTTCGGCGATGTGAAACTGAGCTGCTGCGACTGTCAGGCTGGACCGACAGCAGCCATTGGCCCGCTGGCTCTCTCATGTACGAGCTGGGATCATTGCTTTGTGACTGGATTGCTTTCTTTCCCTCTTTACAACGGCTTGGAATCAAGGAGGGGTCCCGTCAGACTTTTGTGAGAGTATATCCTCTGTAGGACCAGGATGATTTGCTGTTCCGGCGGTTGCTAAGGTATTGACGACGCAGCGAAACTCCCAAACCATTTTGTCACTGACATTGAATCTTGCCTGGGCAGTGGCTTTGCAGTGGCTGTGCAGTGGCTGTCAAGTGTTCGGCTGCTGTTGCTTTGGTTGCTTGTGGTTGCTTGTGATAGTGATTGCTTCCAATTAGTTGCTTCTGGTTGCTTCTGGTTTGTTGTGGTTGCTTGTGATTGTTTTTTCCTGTGAAAATTTCACATGGCAACATGGCAAGACAAGAAACAATTTTCCCTTAACATTCACTGCCTCAACAGTTTGGCCAAAGGAGAAGATTGTTCAAGACTGTGTTTTGCTATGTCCCGATGGCGTGGCTGATGCCCTTCCAGGTTTCGCAGGGTTCCAAAAGGATTTTTTTGGTGCTGTGTTTTGTGGGTTTCGACATTTAAAATGTGCTGGACACTGAACGCGCATGGAAAACTAGTAATAACAGTTTGGCAGGAATTAGCAATTGAGTGAGATGAAAGAGTGGTTGAGTTGTCGATCTTCGAGTCAGTTGAGTGTCTTGACAGGCGAAGTTCTCCACGACGCTGGCCAGAATCCCATCGTTGCTTCTTCCATTGGCAAGTCGCAACACACCCAGGTTTCGAAGGTGCCATGAGAACGTGAGCACATCAAGTGAGCGGCAAGCAGCAATGAATTTCCAGAGAACCAAATTATCTCAGTAATCTGCCCACTTCTTGCACGCAGGCCTCCGTAGAGGATTTTCCGCTGATGAAACAGCAGCAGTCGCCACGGTGGTGTTCGAAACTGGACGCATTTGTGGACATTGTTCAGGTCAAGTGCTGAGTTCGTCAGCGTCCAAAGAGGGCTATGGCTATATATGGTTTAGTGCCACCTACTGTACGTTTTTTCTCTGGAAAAGCAGGGAGTTCTGAATTTGTTTGTCTCAGGTAGGGAAGGACAAAGATGCGTTCTTCGTTTGCGTGCGGACAAGGACCGCCACGCTTCCAAAATGAAAGCGAGATGAAAAAACATCTAAACATACCAAACCTGCTGTTGCTCAATTGTTTGGTTGCTCGGTTTGTGTGTCTGACTTGACCAGGACACCAAATTCAAAGCCTGTCTTGGACTTCTTGGTTCAACTGCGTCTTGAATACCTCAGAAGCTTTGGCCGTGCAGTGGACTTCAACTGTACCTGTCATCCCTCAGCGGCTTCTCTTTGAAGTCAGATTTTGCCTTTGGGGGGACACAACATGGATTTTGCGAAGTTAGTATTGAAGGTTTGTGATTTTTGTTCTTCTTGTAGATTTCTGAACATATGCCCTTGTGGCTTGGACGCATTTCACAATACATGAAGGCTTTGTGGTTGAGCGCTTGGACATTTTCGTATCCGTCGCCGCTCACAGTATTTATGGCCTCAAGGGCAACAGAGAAAGCGCATGCATTTGGGCAGTTTGTGCATCATATAGCGCGCTTCGTCCCATGGTGTGCACAGAGCGCAAAGCAGCACATCTCGCCATTTCTTTCGCTTGTGCCATGTGACCCGGTGACCATGAGGATTTTGCCTGGATATTTGAACTGACGCCTTGAACACGAACGTGTGAAGCGTAGACACAGAATCGATGGCGATGCCTAGGCCACGGCGAAGCAGACGTGCTGCTTCCGCACTTTTCGGTTCATTCAGTGTGCATATTGATATTGATAGTATTTGATCTTCTGTATTTAAAAAAATATATATCTGAGGTCAGCGGGGAATACTATTTGAACCTGGCGCCGGTGGCACGCATGCAAAGGATTAAGGTGCCTCACGGCCAGGGCTGTTTAGGCTCGGGGACTCAGTGTGGAACTGTGGCACTTTCCAACTGTGAAGATCAGCTCCTAATGATGCTCAAACCGTTCAACACGTAAGTGAACAGATGTCAAAAACTGTCAACGTTAAGATTCAAACATGACACTGTCTATGTGTTGAAACCTTCGTTTGTTGTCTTTGCATATTTTCGCCAGTCTTCGGGCGGGAAGGCAAAATTTGAAAGGGATTGTAGAAGGAGACCTGGACGGAAGACCGCACGGGATCCTTCCAATTCAATCTATGATTTCTGCCTTGTTTTGAGGTTTGGACTTTGATTTTCTGAATCCAGATCTTGGAGAGAAAGTGACAAATCTCGGTCTTCCAGTGGCTTTCGTTGATTCTTCACATGGCAAAGGAGCAAATTCCTGAGAGCAGCAGTTTCCAAGGCATATATCATTGGCGCAAGCCGGACCAGTATTTGTTACAACAGTGTAGTGGGACGTAGTGACCTGTTGGATGCCTGCACGCAGGAAACATGTTGGCAGCTTCAGCAAAACTTTGGGCCAGTTGCTTGGAAGGTAAACCACTTCTTACTCGACTGTAGCTTGACTGGAGTATAGGCAACAGCTGGTCTTCTTGATGAAAACACATTGCTTCCTCCTTTCGACGTCTCATGTGCAGGTATGACTTCAATCGCAAGCTTGGATCCCTGCCAGTTGCGAAGCAAATGGTGGAGAAGCTTTTTGAGTAGGATCACAGTGCGTTGCTTCCCGCAGCCTGATTGTTTGGAGTCGTTCAATTGTTGCCTGGCGGTAACGGCCGATGGCCCTGCCATGCCGTACCCCCTATTTGCATTCTTTACTTGTCGCTCCTCAAACGGAGCCGGCTTTAGACTAGGGCAGATGAATGGATGGAGACGGAAGAGAACTAGGAGCTGAATCTTGCCGAACTTCTGCTCGAAAATCAATTTTCAAGCTACGAAATGCGCATGTGTACCAGCGTACATCCATACCTTCCATACCTACCTACCTGCATGCATGCATACATGCACACAAGCATACATGGATACATGGATCCATGGATACCGGATGCATGCACACACACACATGCATACATGCTTACTTACCTACAGACAGATTGGCAGCCAGGCATGCATGTATATGATGTATTCTAGGTTTCGTTTTTTTGCATATATGATGCCTTCTATCATAGTACTTCTCCATACTTTGCCTTTTTTACTGCCTGGTGAATCCGTGCGCTTTGCTTGCATTTTGCCGTTTTTATTCGTTTTGAAACCTTCCAAGTCTTGGAAAGCGCACAGAAAGGCAGGTAACGACTACTGACTGAGGCGCTAAACCTTTGCTCACTCACACTTGGCACTTGGAAACTGTAGCGTGTTGGCACGTCATGCCCAAGCCAAACAGCTAGCGGATGGGTAGAGCGTGCCCATGATGCTTGTAGAACGCCGAGAACGCCGGAGCGTGAGACTATGAGCACAATTGTGGAAGACTTTGCTGACGCTTTTGAGGCTGCTGAGTTGGCACACAGCAGCATGTTCCACACTGTTTCAGTTTTTTTTTTGTGTGTGCCAGCACGGAGACACACGTGACACGTATCATCATTTATCATTGAAGAATGAAGCACTTGGCAAGGATCATGCATGATCACCAGATGTGACCCGCCGTTGATTCATGGCTCACATGGCCCATTTGATTAGGCCTTCAGCCATTACATGTCTACGCTGTCGCTTCGGCAAAAGGCTTCGCTGACGCTCTGCGCTTGAGTGTCTTCAGTGGCACCGGAGCCTTCGTTCTTGGACCTTTGGCATTTGAGCTTGCTGCTGCTGCTTGCGCTGCGCTTCTGGTTCCTTGGCAGTGCACGGGGTACTCCTTGAACGTTCCTGTCACCAACCTCGTGGATCCTTGGATTTGAGGCGGCGGTGATTGAGGACAAAAAGGGTGCCGAGGGGTGATCTATTTGGGGGCATTTGTGGTGTTAGCATTTCATTTGAGCAAGCGTTCACTGGTTGCTGGCACGGCTGTCTTCATTTCAGATTACTTTTGGAATTCATCCACTTTTGCTTGATAGTGACCCCTTTTGCGAGTTTCACGACGTCCCATTTTGGTGCCGTGCAGTTTCAACATGGCTGAGAAAGAAGAAGGCCATGGAGCATGGAGTAGGGTCCCTACCTGGGATGGTTCGCCACAGACATGGCGGTCTTTCCGAAGAGAAATGGCCTGGTGGACATCCTTGTCGGACCTGGAAAGTACGAAGAGTACAACCTTGCTGCACGTTGGCTCTTGCGCCAAAGCGGTATAGTGACGGCTCGTGGAGAAGAGTTTACTCCAGATGAACTTGAACATCAACCTGAAGTGGTAGGCAAGGACCCAGCCACTGGAGAGGATGTAGTCCTCACCCCCGCCGATCCCTTGCGGGGGATCAAAATACTGATGAAGGCGCTTGAGGAGATGAATGGAAAGACCACGTTAGACAAACGTGGAGAGCTGAGAAGCCAATTTTACCTGGAGCTCAAGCGACGCCCTGGAGAAAGAATCAGTGAGTTCTGCACGAGATTCAGAACGATGGTGGCAGATCTCCGACAAGAAGGTGTGACCTTACCGTCGGGCGAGCTTGGGTGGTTCTTGCGATCAAAGCTTGGATTAGACCAACTGCGACTTCAGTTGCTTGACACTGCTTTGGGTGATGATATCGAAAAGGAAGTCCTTCGGCTGTTCAAAGAGCTGCACAGTCAGGATCCTTTGGTTTGTCGACAGCAGGCGGACAGCAGACCTCCTTTGTTGCAGCGTTTTCTCAGTCAGCAATCGGGTCCTAGACTCCCTCTATGGCAAGCTCTGCAACTAGATCCTTCAAGTCTGGTGCCTCGTCGGCGGCCAGTCGTTTTAGTGCGGCTAGGCGACCACCTCCGAAGCAAGTCATGGTTTCTGAGGTTGAAGAGGCGGAGGCTGATGATGATGAAGAGATGGTTGAAGACTCCCAGGATCAATATTCCTTGGAGGAGCTCATGCAGACTGAGGCAGAAGCCTTAGCAGCGGAGTTGGATGCTGCTGCCGAAGAAGGGCTGGACCCAGCCACCTTGCAAGAGATCGAAGACTCTGTGGAGACGGCAGCAGAAGCACTTCTCACTATGCGGGAAGCCAAGACTCGTTTACAAGAGGTCAAGAAAGGCCGTGGCCATGGAAAGACTGATGGCAGCGACAAGAAAGGGACTGCAGCCAAGAAGCAGTCCGGCAAGCATCCATGTTTTGATTGTGGACTTCCAGGGCACTGGGCTGGAGATCCTGAATGTCAAAAGCCTGGCCAGAATTTGGGCCGCAAGTCTCCTCCCAAGAAGGCCAAGCAGGTCAAAGTGGTGGAAACCTTGAACACCGAGCATGTTGTTGAAGAGCTGGACACCCAGACGAATGAAGCGCTGGCAGTTGTTTCAGAACCAGGCTTGATTTCAGATTCTTTGGTGCAAGCTGTTAGTGATGCACATGGACTGCGGGAAGTGAAGGCGATGTCACCCGCAATTCTGGCTTGTGACAAGCGTTTGGTGGGTGCTCTTGACTCTGCATGCAATCGCACTTGCACAGGACCTGAATGGCTCAAAGGTTTTTTGGCTGGATTGAAGGATGCTCCTCAGGAGATTCAAGACTTGGTAGTTTCACGACCAGAGCGAGAGGTTTTCAGATTTGGCAATGGAGGGACGCAAACCAGTGAGGAAAGATGGCGTTTGCCGGCAGTTGTGGGCGGGGAACTGATTTGTTTTTGGACTTCATTAGTACCTGTGCCTTCATTGGGCCTTCTTCTTGGAAGGGATTTCTTAGAGGCAGTGGGCGCCGACATGAGCTTTGCCCGGCGCATTTTGATGTGTGAGCATTTGAACTCGGTTCCCATTCCTCTTCATCAACTGACTGCAGGCCATTATTTGCTTCACCTCCTGCCCTCCAGTTGGCCAGGTGTGGTTTCCCAGAAACGTTGGAAGCGATTGGGTGTTGATGGCGTTTTGGAACTTCAGTTGTCTATGAAGGATTGGCTGAACAAGCGTTTTGGAGGTGGTGTCAGTCGTGCTGTCAGAGCTCATGATCATCTCTTGACAGAACATAGTCTTCAAGCTGGCCGCATGGTTCTGGCTCAAGCCTCAATGACTTCAGCACCTGTGCTGAAACCCAATTCGACATCTGCGCCTACTACCAGTCCAAGTGCGAGTTCTCAACCTGTGAATGGAGAGCCAGTCTCATCTTTTGGGATGGAGACGACTGGTGCTTCGCAGTCAAGAGCGAAGCGTGTGGGCCGCAAAAGGTCTTCTGCTGTGGCTGCTCCAAAAGCCCTGGCTGCGCTTCTTGCCCTTGCCGTATCCATGAACCACTACTCTGCAGCAGTGGAAGGAGCAAGCCCTCAGGCAGGCCATGGATGGAATCATCCCAAAGCAGCACTTGAAGAAGGCGGAGTTGGCTCAGACCTTCAACATGCAGAACCTTGGGAATTGCAGCCATTTGCGAGACCGGCTGGGTCTGGCAGTGTCTTTCATGGAAGACCCCAAGGTGGAAGGGATGCTGTGTGGCCGAGCCGTGAAAGGCCTGGGGGCCAAGTTGAAGAAACAGGCCCAGGCCGAGGCCTTGGAAGCCGCGAAGGCGGCAGAGGAAGCTGGCAGTCGAGAGCAAGAAGCACGATCCATGATTGGACCAAAGGGCGGCTTACCGACCCTGCGTGGAGATCTTCTGCGCCTGGCGGCGCTGCTGCATGTGAAGGTGGAGGATGGCGACACGGTGACCCAGCTGAAAGAGAAGATCAAACCGACTGTGGCCTTGCTCAAGGAGAAGCCCGAACCGAAAGTGAAAGCCAAAAGCAAGGGCCAAGCTCGTGGAGCAATTCCCAAATCAGCCCCACGTCATGCGACGTGCTCGTCAGTGAGCATGAACGATCGGCCTTTGACAGTCATCGCCGACCAACAGCGGCAACTAGGCGTCATGGTGGATCATCTGGCCCGAGAGATTTCTGCTCTTCGGCGGCCCATGGTGGAGCAAGAGTCGGAGGAAGTGGAGGAGGCAGAGATGATTTCCGAACGAGAGTGGACTCCCTCAGAGATTGCGCAGTTGAATGCAGACGCCTACGAAGAGCTGTACAGGGACAGGTTGATGGCCCAGTATGGAGAGGAAAGGCTGATCGGCCTGACCAGCGACGAGATCGAGCAAGCAACGGATCCTTAGAAGATCCTCCAAATCCTTTTGTGCTTGACCAGAAGTTGAAGCGGAATCAAGCGCAACTCATTGCTCAGGCGTGGAAAAGACATGAGGAAGATCGTCGCAAAGTTTCCCTGGGCCCTAGCCAGCTGAAGGAGATTTTGGTTGCTCAACATGAACAAGAATTTCGACACTTCATGAATGATGAGACCTTTTTCCAATCGGTGATCCTAGACCCTGCACCGAAGGAGGTTTTTGAGAATGTGGCAGCCCCTGGGTATGTCAAAGCCCCAGCGAATGCCCAGGTTTCTGAACGCTCCCAGGCTTTTGTCTCTAAGGATCCCCTTGTGTCTGAAGTCTGAAGTGTACACGAACTCTCAGAATTTCATGAAGGAGGCATTGAAAAGAGGGCATCAAGTTGGCACTCCAATGTCTTTAGAAACTGGCTGGGACTTTCGACGTGCTGACCATCGAAAGAGAGCATATCAGACTGTCATGGATGAGAAGCCATTCTGTTTGATCATTGCTTTTCCATGTGGTGGTTTCAGCCCGTTGCAGTTTTTGAATCCTCATGGCCTCGAAGGTTTGCCTCAGAGGCGTCAGGAGAGTTTGGAGTTGATGAGATTTGGCATAGAACTGGCAAAATTGCAAGTTCGGGAGGGCAGACACCAGACACTTCATTTTGGAGAATCCTTTGCCTAGTGCTGCCTGGAAAGAACCCGAAATGCAAGCGTTTTTGGAAGAGTATCAGATTGACACTGCTGTCTTTGATCAATGTCGATATGGCCCCAAAAGCCTGGCCGGCCGCCCGCATAGGAAGGCCACCAAGATAGCAAGTTCAAGTGATGCAGTCATCAAGTCTGTGGATGGCAATCGGTGCACGCGCACCCATGTTCATGATCCAGTCATTGGTGGTGCTAAGGTGACGGCTCGTGCCGGCATTTATCCTCGAGCTCTGGCACGCGCCATGGTTCGAAGTGTCGAGGAGCAGTTCGAGAAGCAGTATGACTTGAACTCTGGCAATGTTGGTGAAGTCCTAGCAGCGGAGGCGGAGGATGATGAGGGGATTGATTTTGTTCAGAACAGTGGTGCGTTTGCTTTGAATGAAGATGATCTTTCAGATGTGGAAGAGCAAACGGAAGATGATAGCCAAGGGCGCATCAGCCAGTCAGTCAAGCTTGCAATTCGCAGACTCCATGAGAATACGGGCCACCGTAGCAATGTTCGCTTGGCGCGGGCATTGGCTATCGCCGGAGCCCCTCCTGAGGCAATCATTGCGGCGAAACGGCATCGATGTGATGTTTGTGCCGAACGAGTCGCTCCTAAAGTTCGTCGGCCTGCTTCTTTGCCTACACCCCGTGACATGGGTGATCAGGTGCACATTGATTTGCTGGAAATTGAAGACATCAAAGAGAACAAGTTCTTTGTGGTTCATTGCACGGATAGTGCAACGCGTTTTCAGATGGCCGAAGTCTTGAAGGACAAGTCGACCGCCAGTGTGGTGCGCTTCTTGTCCACCAAATGGCTTCCTGTTTTTGGTGCACCCCGTGTTTTGGTGGCAGACCAAGGGAGAGAGTTCATCTCTTGGGAAATGGAAGAGTGGGCATCTTCAGTGTCTACGTTGCTTCATCACATCGCGGTGCAAGCCCCCTGGCAGAATGGAATAGCAGAAAGATCTGGCGGTGCTCTCAAGGCAGTTCTTTCAGCGATTGTGGCTGCTCAAAGCGTGCTTGCTTGGCTTTGACGACATGCAGGTGGCTCTGGGTGAGGCAGTCTATGCCTGCAATGCAGATATCAATGAGTCTGGAGCTTCGCCTTTTCAAGCAGCTGTGGGCCGCCAGCCCCGTATGGTTGGCGATGTCCTTGGTGGAATCCAGAATCGCCTGGCCGAACACGGTCTGGTATCTTCAAAGCCTTCACTAGCACGACAGATTGCCATGCGGGAGACCGCCAAGGTGTCCATGTGCCGTTTGCATTTCAGCAGAGGCCTGAGAAAGGCAGAGCTGGCGAGATCAAGAAGCACAACTATTGAAGAAGCTCCAGCCCCGGGAACAGTCTGTTATTTTTACAGACCAGTGAGATACAATCGAAAAGGTGCTGGCAGCAGGAAGAAGTTGACTCTGAAACGCTGGCATGGGCCAGCCTTGCTGGTGGCTTTGGAAGGGCATGCATCAGCCTTCTTGTCCTACAAAGGCCAACTGACCAAATGTGCGTTGGAGCATGTCAGGGTCGCTTCGACAATGGAGCAAATTGCGGCTGAGACCTGGCGTGAAGCGATTGATGAGGTGGTGGAAGCCGCACGACAGGATGCAGCTCGACAAGAGCCTGAGGAAGCTCCAGTTGTAGATGCTGAGAGCTTGCCAGCTGGAGAAAATCCAAGAACCCCAGCATTCTTGCCTTCTACTCCGGCGCCGGCGGCACTTCAACCTGCTTCAGCCGATGGTGGTGCCGACCTGCCACCGTTGCAGCCTCAAAAACTGGTGGGAGCTATGCTATCTCTTGGTGATGAAGGGGGTAGTGGCTTGGTATCAGTTCCTGGACCGCGCCGGATGAGTGATGTTTCATCCAGAGCCGCGGCCTCTTCAATTCCTGGATCGCGCCGGATGAGTGATGTTTCATCCAGAGCTGCGGCCTCTTCAATTCCGCCATTGCCCAGACCCTTGCCTTTGTCTCAGACCATTGAGAAAGCCCAGAGGTTGGACGCCACAGCAGGGGTGAAACGACCTGCTGAGATTGGTGCCAGTGACTACAAGGATGCTCAAGACGTGGCTGACGGTGGAGCAGCCTCGGCGGCTGAACCTTCAAGGGTAGCAGATGCCTTGCTGGTCTCTAAGGAAGATATTTTTGCTTCCTTGGGGGATCCGTCAGTTCATCCTTTGGTGCACATCCACAATGGTGCTTGTTTGGATCGACTCCGACCTTTGGAGAGTCGTGTCAATGATCATGGCTCCTGGCATGGAAGATGGCATCTTCCCTCTCAGTCAGAATGGGAAACACGCAGCAAGCTTGGTTTGTCCTGGCCTATAGGCAGTGATGATGTGGAAGATTCACATGAAGCCTGTGCAGTTCAAGCGGCCCGGAAGGAATACTTCTGGAAGAGCATGACCGATGAGCAGAAGAAGGAGTTCAAAGAAGCTGCAACCCAAGCGTGGTCTGTTTGGGCAGAGAATGATGCTTTGCAGATCTTGAGCGATGAGGAGGCAGCAAAGGTGCGTCAGAAGTTGAAGCAGAACAAAGAATCTGACAGCAAGATTCTGACCCCAAGGTATGTTTTCACAGACAAACATGAAGCCTTGAGGACTCCGACCAATCCTTTGCCTTTGAAAGCTCGTGCGCGCATCGTGGTTCCTGGCTTTAAGGATGTCATGGCCTTCAGCATTCGCAAAGATGCTCCTACCGCGTCTCGAATCAGCCAGCACATGTTGTTCATCATGACGGCAAGTTTCAAGAAAGCCAAGAAAGCCTGGAGATTGATGAGTACAGATGTGAAGAGCGCCTTCATGAAGGGCGACCCTTTTCTGGCAGGGACTCGTGAGCTTTACATGGAGAACATCCGTGGCCATAGTGGTGAACCTCTATAGCCTTTTCCTGCACTTGGCTTGGCCCGAGTCTGCAAGGGAGTCTTTGGTTTGTCGGATGCCCCTAGACAGTGGTATTTGCGATTGAACAAAGACTTGGAAGCGCTGGGTTGGGAGAGAAGCAGTCTTGATTATGCTTGCTGGTTGCTGTGGTCGGAAGACCGAACTACTCTGGATGGCATTCTTCTTTCGCATGTTGATGATTTGCTTCTTGGTGGTAACCTGCGAGCTCAAGAATCACTCCTTTCTCTTGGCGAATCCTTGAGTTTTGGGTCAGTTGAATATGATGATTTTGTTTACTGTGGGAAAAGAATCCGACAAAGAGCAGATGGAACAATCACTATTTCCATGGTAGAGTATCATCAAAACCTCAAGCCCATCGTCATTCCTGCGCATCGCAGAGCACAACCTGATGCTGAGCTATCAGAAGCAGAACGACGCCAGCTTCGAGCAGTTCTAGGCTCTCTGCAGTGGTTGGTAGCCCAATTGAGAATCGACCAAGGATTTTCTTTGTCTAGCCTTCAAGGGGAGAAACCTCGAGTTCAGACTTTGGTCAAAGCAAACGTGCTTTTGAAGAAGTTCAAGATGCACCCTCGTTTTGAATTGACCTTCAAGCCCCTAGATTTGGATGGAGCTGGCATCCTGGTCATCACAGATGCGTCCTTGGGGAATGTGACCAAGGAAGGTTGTGCAGAGGGTTCTGTGACAGAACGCGTGTTTTCACAGAGTGCCTATTTTGTCCTGGTGGCCGACCGTCACCTGATGTCGGGCAAGGAAGGGAACTTTGGAATTCTTGATGCAAGATCCCATAGGATCCCACGCGTCTGCCGCTCCACTTTTGGAGCAGAACTACTTGGTGCTGAAGAAGGACTGGACAATGGTCAGTTCGCTCGTGGCATGCTTGCTTTGATGCTGGGATATCCAATGAATGGACGCTGTGCAGATGGCGTCATGGATGCTGTCCCGCTGATGCAAGTCACTGACGCCAAGGATGTTTTCGACAAGGGTAGCTCTGACACTCCAACGTATGGATCACAGAAAAGCTTGGCATTCACCATTGCATGGATGAGGTCAATCCTAGCTCGTCCAAACACTTGCCTGCGCTGGACATCGACCGAGAACATGTTTGTGGACGCGGGAACTAAGGAGATGGATGTTGATCATATGCATCGCATTATCCAGAGCGGAACTTGGAGCGTGGAGTTCAACCAGACCTACGTGAAGCAGACCTCCAGGAAGACGAAAGCTTCTGTAGCTTCTGAGAGTGGAAATTCAGAGTTGGTAGGCGAGAATTTAGATTCATCCCATCCTATTTTCCCTTTCTTAGCTCAGCTTAGTGGTAGTCCTGGTTGGCATTTCCGAGATTCGCTGGTAATTCATGTAGCCAAGGGTGCGACGTCGTACAGAGTTCCAACTGCTAGATTTGAGTCTAGCGACTTTCCTTTGCGCTCGACGTATGCACGATTTGATCTGAAGGATGGCAGATCAACCTGGCGCATTCTGGAAGATGGCGTCAGGTATACAGAACTAGCCAACAAGCAAGCTGTTTTTGGAGGCGTGGCCAACATCCTGGTGAGCATTTTTCGATCTCTTGCCAACAAAGATATAGACCAGCTGAAGAATGAAGCAATTGGCAAGGATCATGCATGATCACCAGATGTGACCCGCCGTTGATTCATGGCTCACATGGCCCATTTGATTAGGCCTTCAGCCATTACATGTCTACGCTGTCGCTTCGGCAAAAGGCTTCGCTGACGCTCTGCGCTTGAGTGTCTTCAATCATGGATTCATATTGATATATCATGATATACAATTATTTATCACCACTTTAACACTATTGTGAGGCCGCAGCATGCTCAGTCCGTTCTCAGTCTTGTTCTTGAGCCGGACTGAGGATTTTGGTGCAAAGCACGGCCAGATCTCGAAGCAGACATTGTGCAAAGCACGGACCTAAGAAATCTTGGAGCAATTGTTCTGGCACACGCCAGGCTCATGCACTGTTGTGCTCTAGATAAGCTTCCCGGTAGCTCAGACTGAGACCCCGGCAGTTTCCAATCTCATGACAACAGGATCCTCATTGGACGATTGGACAATGATTTTGCTTCATTTCCACACAGGATAATTCAGTTGTATAAAAGGGAGCCTCTGGAACTTCCGGTTCTCTATGTGCGAAGGTTGTGGCACCTGACTCTCTTGCGATTTCGGATAGGCGTCCAACCACGAAAGCTAGCTTCTGCTAGCTAAAGTCCTTCTTGCTTTAGCAAGGGATTGGGGGGGGGCTGGAATCTCCACTCGCATGAAACTTCATACTTAAATACCCCCCCTCCACCCCCTTTGGGGGACACTGTCGGCATGTTGCCACTGGCAGTAAATTCGGCAGCATTTGCATCATCAGCATCCTCAACATCATTGTGTTTTCATGACAAGCTCCCTGCCAAGCCATCTTTCGTCCCTTACCCCTGAGCCCTGGGCCTCAAGTTCTTCTTTGCAAAGAGTGTTCTCACCGTTCGGCTGAGATACTACACCATTTGGATAGTTCATGGACCAAGAAGCGGTTGGAACACCTGCTGGATGGCTTCGGATGTTCTCAAGGCTAGACAATGCTTCAAGCTTCGTAACTTCGTTTCTTAAAGTGCTGAAGTCTGTGGATTGAGAGATCCGGCAGATATCAACGTCGACACGTACAAGTTCTTTGATTGGATCATACATCCACAGCCAAGTACCTCAATTGCATCTAGCTGCCTTGCAGAGGACTTTGGCAAAAGTTAGCATCCATTGCTTTTTCTGCTGTGCTTTAATCTTAGGTCTGGTGGAACTACCTCTGAAATGCCGATCAGAAAGACAACGCTCCCAGTTTCTGAGGGAACAGTGGGCCACTAACTCAGCACGAAAAAAATTGACAAACAATTTCCTTGTCTTCCGAAAAGGTCTGACATTTGCAGCTCAATCACTGTCGCTTGAGTTTCTTGGCAAGGAACCGTTCCAAGAAGAAGTGGAAAATCTGTTGCAAAGCACAGCAGCCCGTGTCTTCGTTCGCACATGTTCACTCCGTGGTGTTTCATTGAAAATCATAGTGCTATGTATTGTATTTTTGTGCTCCCAAGGTGCAGACGCTGGATTTTCTCTTCATGAAATCATGCCATCTCACTTGAGACTGCGGGCATTGACGGATAAATGCCGAAGTCTAACAGAAACTTGGCATGGACGGGTCCCTCGGTTGCACGTGAGAGGCAACACAGTACAGTAATCAGAGTCACCATGCCAGCAGACTCTCCTCGTTTTGATGCGCTCAAGGCCAACATCAGCTACATGTACGAAATGTTCATGAAAATGGCAGAGCGCGATGGTCCCATACCAAGATGTCAACAAACCCGGTAACACTTAGAACCTAGATGCAACATGATGTAACTGTGCTTCTTGGGAACTGTTTCGCAATGCCCTGCCAAATGCAGCAGGTCACAGCGGATATCTGTTCGAAGATATTCCTCAGCAGCCTTGACAGCAGTAGGAAACTACAAAGGCCAAGGTGAATGAGCATGAACTGAGAATGAACTGTATTGTTTTGTTCTTGATGCTTCAGACTCCAGACTCTTGCAGCCTATCCTTGAGGCAACGTTCTGAAGATGGATTTGTCCGGGTGCTGGACGGAGAGGTGAGACATCGTGAGACATGGTGAGACATGGTGAGACTTGAATCTGTTGAAATCTGTTGAAATCTGTTGAAATCTGTTGAGCTGACGCCCACTGCCCAGCACTGCCCAGCACCATCGTGTAGCACATGCGGCGCAGGCCCGTGCCCGCCTCTACACTGGATCCAAATCAGCGAGCCGTCGGAAGTGCTTGGCTTTGGTGGGAAGGCGGCGATGAAAACAATGCGAAAAACGATGAGAAAAACGATACGGTGACTATATGGTGAGAGACGTGGGACTCAAACTTGCTCCACTGGAACAGCTTCAGGCATTGAACTTTCGACTCTCAGGGCTTTATAATACTTTTTTGATCTTTTTTTGCACACCTCACAAATCTTCCTGCGCCACAGGATGCAGCAAACCACTGGTGAGTCGCCAATTGACAACCTTCAACTTCCCAACTTGATGCGCCGAAAAGATGCATTGCTCCTCACAGTTGGACGCCGTGCCTTGTCCAGCAGTACTTGCGGCAAATTTCACATGGTGACACGAACTGTGCGCACCTGACATGCACCTTGACACGTGCAACTTAGATAGACATTACTTGTGACGATGACCCGGCTTTTTAGAATTGGAATCCCTTGGATCCTCTTTGATTCTGTGAGGTATTCAGCAATTCTTTGTGTGGGCACTGCGCTGGAAACAGCGGCGAATCATGGCAAGGTTTCCTTCTGAGTGCCACCAAGCAGTGCCTTAGATGGCCGAAGTTGGGCCGGAGCTGGGCCGGAGTTGCCCAGATGTTCACCACGGCCTGCTGTCAGCAGCTCCATAACTAAACAGATTGATTGTGCTTATATTGTGCTGAATATGCTCGCTCATTCGAAGCAAGCCGTTCTAACCCTTTTCACTCTTGTTTTGCTTTTTTTGGCAGCTCCGGTAGCATAAAGTTCCTTAGGGTTCTAGGCTCTGAGAGATTCGCGAACTGTACTTAAAAAGTAAAACACAAAACAAATCTTCCTTGACGGCATGAATTAATGGTCAATTTAATGATTAGTTCCTCAGGGACCCCAATAAACACCCAACGCGAGCTTTCCAAATTGCGGGCAAGGATTTTGAGTGGGAACAGATGCGGATGCATATGATCTAGGCATATCTAGGCATATCTAGGCATTGATGTCATTTGATGTCTACGATGTCTACGTCTTCGTTCAATTCTTCGTTCATTTTGCAAGTCACGTGTCTACCCTCGATAATCTCGATACATGCTGCAGGACCCTGTGGCATGAATATGAGGCGAGGTCGACCAAATTCACAAACCTAGCACTGTCTTTGAAATTGGTCAACCACTGTCAAATTCACAATGAGTTTCACATATTTCACAAATTTCATGTTTGCTTTCTTAATTTCTCCAGATCCAGATACCTCAAGCGCCCAAAGCAGTCGGACATCTCACATCCTGCATGGTGTTGGGACATCCTGGTAAATTGACATTCCCTTTTGGTTGCATGTCATTTGTGAATTTGCCTTTTCTCATTATTTCATGTCATTTGTATGCCGTGTAGAGGTGTAAACCCAGCTGGCCACACATCCATGCCGGCATATATGTGTGCATACACCCCAGTGTCATCCTGCTTCTCTCTCTCTCTCTGTTTGCTTTTCCTCTGTTACGGGAAAAGAGGCATGTCTGGGCCGCTTACAGTATTTCTTGTTAACATTTGTTCACTGTATATGCATGTATATACATCATTATACATCATCGTTTGTTTAGCCACGTACGGTCTAGACAGTCTGTGTCGCAGCGTGCGAGTGCATTGCACCAAGGCCGTGAAAGCAAGAGCGCAGTCCATGCAGGAAGGCGAGCGCCCGTGTCGAGGGTAGCAACGGTAGCGACACGGTAGCGACACGGTAGCGACACGGTAGCAGAGGTGATTCCACCGAATCAGAATCCTATTTGAATCATCAGAATACTATCTGAATTCCCAGAAACTTTGAACATCTTGGGCCTTCCGTCCCTTCTGGTCTTCCGTTCTGGCACCTATTGGCATCTAGCTGTCCTAGCTTGCGTGAAAAGTGTGCAGGAGATGACAGCTCTGTGGCGCTGAACCTCCTTGTTGAACACGGCTGCCTCGTGGAGTCCTATGGCCAGGTGACACGATGCGACATGATGTGACACGATGCGACGCGATGTGACACGATGTGACACGTGAAGCAGGAAACAGAACGTAACAGAACTGATTTCGAAATATTTCGAACTGATTCGAGTTGATTATCTTAGGGGTAGAGAAATCCAAGAGGCTCGAGGACTGACATGTGGAGCTTGGTGCAGGTGCCGCAGGTGATTCGAACCCGAGCGGACGAATTCATAGCAGTGCCTTAGCAGCTGCAAAGCACATCTTAGCATCAGTTCTGGAACAGCATATGGCCGCCTGATGCCGCCTGTGGATGACTTTCCGCGTTCGTTTTTCTCATGATTTGTGGTGATTTATCACAATTCGTTTTCATTTGTTTGTTTGCAGTCTTGTCAATGTACAGGGTGGTAAAAATGGCACATTGGCCCAGGAATGCTTGCAGCGCCCAGAGGGTGAACTTGATGAGGAACTTGCTGACTTTTTGAAGCACTGTCAGATAAACCCAGGACGTCCATACAAGGCTCCGGAAATCTTTGGATCCATTTTGAATCAAGATGTGGTGATTGTATGTGATTGTGCAGATTGAAATTGTCCGAACCTTCTCGGATTTCGGAATGTGTTCCAGGCCGATCGCGTCGGACATAAACTCCTACTGCTAAAGGCACTCCGCAGCCCGGAACTGCGCGTGATGTGGCGGTCTGATGTGGAGGCATTCACCCAGCACCGGTACATCACCGAACCTCAGCTCCGGTCAGCGGGGAGGGCAAACGCACACCTACTGCGGGCACTGTGACACTATGATCACTGTGACTTTTGGACACTTTCGGCTCCTGAGAATATGTATTTCCATTGGAATCTCTATGTGTTTCCTGAGGGCACTTGGACTCGCAGAGCACCATTGTATTACCTGCCTGACGATGGCTCGGAGTGCGTGGTGCTGCGGCGCCCAGGACCTGGGAGGGAGTCAGATGGAAGGAGCATAGATTGGACATGACTGATTCCTGGGGTCCTAGGGCGAGCCATGACTTGGTAGGACTTGGTCTAACTGTTCGTGTAAGTTCGGGCGGTAGAGGCTCCGTTTGCATAGGTGACGAAGAATCCTCGCGGTTCCGGAAGAACATCTTTGCATACGCGGAGTCTCATGGTCTCGGACAGAGTGGGGGAGGCGGGGTCGACCGAGAAGATAGAGTCTTAGAGAAGTTCTGCTAGCCACAGCGGAAGCTAAAACCAAACTAGGAGGAACTCAGAAATTCTGCCAGAGTGACCCCTGAACGGATTCCTTTGGATCAGGGCCTGCAGGCTGCATGCAAAATCAAGTCAAAGCCAAGGCATCACACGAGTTAGAATTTAGCACTATCGTATGATGTGAACCTGAGCTGCCGCGACTGTCAGGCTGGACTGACAGCAGCCATTGGCCCGCTGGCTCTCTCATGTACGAGCTGGGATCATTGCTTTGTGACTGGATTGCTTTCTTTCCCTCTTTGCAATGTCAATGGAATCATGGAGGGATCCGACAAGACTTACTTTTTTTTCTCCAGTTGTGAGCGTATATACTCCATAGGGCCGGCATTTTGTTTGCTGTTCCGGCGGTTGCTAAGGTATTGACGAGGCAGCGAAACTCCCAAACCATTTTGTCACTGACATTGAATCTTGCCTGGGCAGTGGCTTTGCAGTGGCTGTGCGGTGGCTGTCAAGTGTTCGGCGGCTGTTGCTTTGGTTGCTTGTGGTTGCTTGTGATAGTGATTGCTTCCAATTAGTTGTTTCTGGTTGCTTCTGGTTTGTTGTGGTTGCTTGTGATTGTTTTTTCCTGTGAAAATTTCACATGGCAACATGGCAAGACAAGAAACAATTTTCCCTTAACATTCACTGCCCCAACAGTTTGGCCAAAGGAGAAGATTGTTCAAGACTGTGTTTTGCTATGTCCCGATGGCGTGGCTGATGCCCTTCCAGGTTTCGCAGGGTTCCAAAAGGATTTTTTTGGTGCTGTGTTTTGTGGGTTTCGACATTTAAGAGGCAAAAAAATGTGCTGGACACTGAACGCGCATTGAAAACTAGTAACAGTTTGGCAGGAATTAGCAATGGATTGATGAAAGAGTGGTTGAGTTGTCGATCTTCGAGCCCGTTGAGTGTCTTGACAGGCGAAGTTCTCCACGACGCTGGCCAGAATCCCATCGTTGCTTCTTCCATTGGCAAGTCGCAACACACCCAGGTTTCGAAGGTGCCATGAGAACGTGAGCACATCAAGTGAGCGGCAAGCAGCAATGAATTTCCAGAGAACCAAATTATCTCAGTAATCTGCCCACTTCTTGCACGCAGGCCTCCGTAGAGGATTTTCCGCTGATGAAACAGCAGCAGTCGCCACGGTGGTGTTCGAAACTGGACGCATTTGTGGACATTGTTCAGGTCAAGTGCTGAGTTCGTCAGCGTCCAAAGAGGGCTATGGCTATGTATGGTTTAGTGAAAAGCAGGGAGTTCTGAACTTGTTTGTCTCAGGTAGGGAAGGACAAAGATGCGTTCTTCGTTTGCGTGCGGACAAGGACCGCCACGCTTCCAAAATGAAAGCGAGATGAAAAAGCATCTAAACATACCAAACCTGCTGCTGCTGGGTTGTTTGGTTGCTTGGTTTGTGTGTCTGACTTGACCAGGACACCAAATTCAAAGCCTGTCTTGGACTTCTTGGTTCAACTGCGTCTTGAATACCTCAGAAGCTTTGGCCGTGCAGTGGACTTCAACTGTACCTGTCATGCTTCTGCCGCTTGTCTGCAAGGCCAGGTTTTCCGTTCTGGGAAGGAGCTCGAAAAATGCGCGGCTTCAGAATAGACTACGGGAGACAAAGTCCGTGCATCAGTGTGGAACGCTTCATGCATCTGTGTTGTGGTGATCAGCATGATTTCGATTTGTCGGAAGCCCCTCAAATAGACCCAGCTCTGAAGAAGTTGAGCTTTGTCTTCCAGTCTAGCTTATCACATCTTATAATTGTAGAGCTTCGCACACCGGCGATGCCTGTAGGGGTCGGGGGAGGGAAAGAGAGAGGGGGATTTCATCTGAACTAGGTAAGAATCGTCATTGTCGTCGTTGTCGTTGTCGTCGTCGTCGTCGTCGTCGGCGTCGTCGTCGTCGTCGTCGTCGTCGTGGTCGTGGTCGTCGTCGTGGTCGTGGTCGTGGTCGTGGTCGTGGTCGTGGTCGTGGTCGTGGTCGTGGTCGTGGTCGTGGTCGTGGTCGTGGTCGTTGTGGTTGTGGTTGTGGTTGTGGTTGTGGTTGTGGTTGTTGTTGTTGTTGTTGTTGTTGTTGTTATTGTTGTTATAGCTTATCTAAGATTTGAAAGGTATGCTTTCATATGGTTCTATCTTATGCCAGAGGTTCGTGGCGGTTTAAGGTGGCAAGTTTGGTGGCAAGTTCGGCGGCGGTGGCAGTTAGATATGTGGGTGGCAGTTTCAGTGGCAATGAAGAGTTGGTGGCAAGCTTGATGGCAGAATGTGATGGCAAAAATGGTGGCAACCGTATTTTGGTGGCAAAGGGGGTGGCAACTTTGCATGGCAAAAATTGAGCCGGAAGTTTAGCAATCACATTTTGGCGGCAGCAGAAAGGTTGCAAACACCTTCAGTCACAAAAAGGCGTTGAGTGTACATGGCACATGTTGATAGAAAGGGTGTGAGAGACTTTTTGGCGGCAAATGGGGTGGTAAGTTGATGGCAAAAGTGCTGGCAAAATTTGGTGCTACATCAGCTGACAAAAATCATGCCAGCCCTATTGCACCTTCAGCGGAGGCGACACCCACCGACCCTATGAATAAAACAAGAATCCAAGCAAATATGAAAGGCTGGCATGTTGTTTTCAACTATCCCTTTGCTGGTGGCGCAAGAGCAGGTTTAGCCCAGCGCACGCTGGTCCTTTCAAGACAATCCGCACTAGTTTTTGGTTGCCATCATTGCCCGTCAAAAAATAAGGCCTATTTTTGTCAAAAATAAGGCTTATTTTGGCAAAAATCGACCTTATTTCTTGACGGGCAGGTGGGCAGCTGCCTGGGCAAAATTTTGCTCAACATTTTTTCTGTGCCCCACAATGTTCCAGCATGGCTTAGACACAGAAAACCGTTAGACAAAAACACAACCGAAAGGCAATTGCTGACCAAGTGAGCTGTAAACACAACAATTTCTGAGCACTAAGTTTGATCATTCGACACCACAACAATCTGATTGAACATGTTCACTTGCTTTGCATATGACACAATTTCAGAAGCCGCTTGTGCAAACCAACGGCTGCATACAATATCCTGTGGCCATGCAATGAGCCATCTGCTTTTCCCACTTCCGCGTCCAGTCTTTAGCCCTTGCCACAATTTTTGCCATAGCTTTGCTACCTGTGTTGCTATTGCTTTTGCCCGCAATGAAGTTTGCGCTTTCGTTGCCGCGTGTGTTGCCAAGGGCTTTTGCTCGCAACCCAAATTTTGCCATTGAATTTGCCGCCCGTGCTTTTACCCCCGCCACGTATTTGCCAGTGTTTTTTGCCACCGATGTTGCCATTACCTTTGCCCCCGTCGGTTTTTTCCATCCATGTTGCCCTGCAGATTGCCACCGCCATTGCCATTGCCATTGCTTTTGCCCTCGAGGTTGCCATGCTTGTTGCCATTAAATTAATTTGGGCGCCTAATAGAGCATTGCTCTTGAATTTTAAATAAGTTATAGCTGTTGCTGCTTGGTCCTGTTGTCGTTGTCGTTGTTATCTTTGTAGATGATTGTTGAAAAAACCACATCAGAGAGGATGCGAAAGGCCAAACGCTTTAACAACAAATGCCTATGGCCAGAGGGCTGGTCAATGCTGCCGCGAAGCACTTTACGGGTTTGACGCCTGGCAATCGGCAGGCTTGAACGCCCAAAGAACAGATGGCTACGGAGGCAAACGGCACGCTTGAACGCTCTAACAACAAATGCCATGCCTATGGCTAGAGGGCTGGTCAACGCTGCCGCAAAGCATTTTACGGGTTTGACGCCTGGCAATCGGCAGGCTTGAACGCCCTAAGAACAGATGGCTATGGCTATGGAGGCAGACGGCACGCTTGAACGTGTAACAACAAATGCCTGTGGCCAGAGTGCTGGTCGAAGCTGCCGCGAGGCATTTTACGGGTTTGACGGCTGGCAAACAGCACGCTTGAACGCCCTAAAAACAGATGACTCTGAAGGCAATCGCCAGGCTTGAACGCACTAATAACACCTAATAACAAGAAATGCTTGCGACCAGAGGGCCTGGTCGAAGCTGCCGCGAAGCATTTTACGGGTTTGAGGGCTGGCAAACGGCAGGCTTGAACGCCTAAAAACAGATGACTCTGAAGATCTCTGAAGGTGATTCTGAAGGTAGATGGCAAGCTTGAATGCTCTAACAACAAATGCCTGCGGCCAGGGGGCCTGGTCGAAGCGGCCGCAAACCATTTTACGGGTTTGAGGGCTGGCAAACGGCAGGCTTGAACGCCCTAAAAACAGATGACTCTGAAGGCAAATGGCAAGCTTGAACGCTCTAACTACAAATGCCTGCGGCCAGAGGGCCTGGTCGAAGCTGCCGCGAAGCATTTTACGGGTTTGAGGGCTGGCAAACGGCAGGCTTGAACGCCCTAAAAACAGATGACTCTGAAGGTCAATGCCAAGCTTAAACGCTCTAACAACAATTGCCTGCGGCCAGAGGGCCTGGTCGAAGCTGCCACGCAGCAGTTTACGGGTTTGAGGGCTGGCAAAAGGCAGGCTTGAACGCCCTAAAACTGCTGCGAAGCATTTTACGGTTTTGAGGGGTGGCAAACGGCAGGCTTGAACGCCCTAAAAACAGATGACTCTGAAGGCAAACGGCAGGCTTGAACGCTCTAACTACATATGCCTGCGGCCAGAGGGCCTGGTCGAAGCTGCCGCAAACCATTTTACGGGCTTGAGGGCTGGCAAACGGCAGGCTTGAACACCCTAAAAACAGATGACCCTGAAGGCAAATGGCAAGCTTGAACGCTCTAACTACAAATGCCTGCGGCCAGAGGGCCTGGTCGAAGCTGCCGCGAAGCACTTTACGGGTTTGAGGGCTGGCAAATGGCAGGCTTGAACGCCCTAAAAGCAGATGACCCTGCAGGCAAATGGCAAGCCTGAACGCTCTAACAAGAAATGTTTGCGGCCAGAGAGCCTGGTCGAAGCTGTCGCGAAGCATTTTACGGGTCTGAGGGCTGGCAAACGGCAGGCTTGAACGCCCTAAAAACAGATGACCTTGAAGGGAAACGGCAGGCTTGAACGCTCTACGCTCTAACAAATGCCTGCGGCCAAGCTAGATGACTCTGAAGGCAAACGGCAGGTGCGAGCGGCCAGAGGGCTTGGTCGAAGCTGCCGCGCAGCATTTTACGGGTTTGCGGGCTGGCAAACGGCAGGCTTGAACGCCCTAAAAACAGATGACCCTGAAGGTGACTGTGAAGGCAGATGGCAAGCTTGAACGCTTTAACAACACAATGACTGCGGCCAGAGGGCTTGGTCGAAGCTGCCGCAAACCATTTTACGGGTTTGAGGGCTGGCAAACGGCAGGTTTGAACGCCCTAAAAACAGATGACTCTGAAGGCAAATGGCAGGCTTGAACGCTCTAACTACAAATGCCTGCGGCCAGGGGGCCTGGTCGAAGCTGCCGCGAAGCATTTTGCGGGTTTGAGGGCTGGCAAACGGCAGGCTTGCACGCCCTAAAACTGCCGCGTAGCATTTTACGGGTTTGAGGGCTGGCAAACGGCAGGCTTGAACGCCCTAAAAACAGATGACTCTGAAGGCAAACGGCAGGCTTGAACGCTCTAACTGCAGATGCCTGCGGCCAGAGGGCCTGGTCGAAGCTGCCGCGAAGCATTTTACGGGTTTGAGGGCTGGCAAACGGCAGGCTTGAACGCCCTAAAAACAGATGACTCTGAAGGCAAATGGCAAGCTTGAATGCTCTAACAACAGATGCCTGCGGCCAGAGGGCCTGGTCGAAGCTGCCACGCAGCAGTTTACGGGTTTGAGGGCTGGCAAACGTTCAGGCTTGAACGCCCTAAAAGCGGATGACCCTGAAGGCAAATGGCAGGCTTGAACGCTCTAACTACAAATGCCTGCAGCCAGAGGGCCTGGTCGGAGCTGCCGCGAAGCATTTTACGGGTTTGAGGGCTGGCAAAATGCAGGATTGAACGTTCTAAAAACAGATGACTCTGAAGATCTCTGAAGGTGATTCTGAATGCAGATGGCAAGGTTGAACGGCCTAACAACAAATGCATGCGGCCGGAGGGCCCGGGTTTGAGGGCTGGCAAAGAGCAGGCTTGAACGCCCTAAAGCTGCCGCGAAGCATTTTACGGGTTTGAGGGCTGGCAAACGGCAGGCTTGAACGCCCTAAAAACAGATGACTCTGAAGGCAAACGGCAGGCTTGAACGCACTAACAAGAAATGCCTGCGGCCAGAGGGCCTGGTCAAAGCTGCCGCGCAGCATTTTACGGGTTTGAGGGCTGGCAAACGGTAGGCTTGAACGCCCTAAAGACAGATGACTCTGAAGGCAAACGGCAGGCTTGAACGCTCTAACTGCAGATGCCTGCGGCCAGAGGGCCTGGTCGAAGCTGCCGCGAAGCATTTTACGGGTTTGAGGGCTGGCAAACGGCAGGCTTGAACGCCCTAAAAACAGATGACTCTGAAGGCAAATGGCAAGCTTGAACGCTCTAAGCTGCCGCGAAGCATTTTATGGGTTTGAGGGCTGGCAAACGGCAGGCTTGAACGCCCTAAAAACCGATGACTCTGAAGGCAATTGGCAGGCTTCAAGGCTCTAACTGCAGATGCCTGCGGCCAGGGAGCCTGGTCGAAGCTGCCGCGAAGCATTTTACGGGTTTGAGGGCTGGCAAACGGCAGGCTTGAACGCCCTAAAACAAACGGCAGGCTTGAACGCTCTACGCTCTAACAAATGCCTGAGGCCAGAGGGCCTGGTCGAAGCGGCCGCAAGGCATTTTACGGTTTTGACGCCTGGCAAACGGCACGCTTGAACGCCCTAACAACAATGGCTCTGGAGGCAAACGGCAGGCTTGAACCTACAAAAACCAGTTCCACACCTGGTGGCCCCAGGCGCTGCCCGTGCCTTGGCCAAGGCCGGGGTCGGCGGATTACCATAGGGTTGCTTTTAGCGTTCCTCTCATTTCTTCCCCCATGTTATACATCCCAGGCCGATGTCTTTATCTCCCTTTCCTGGTCACATTCCTCATCAGTCATTATGTGCGCTGGTCCACATAAATTAAACATGACAGTGCTCCTAGTTTCTAGAGACTCTGGGTTCTGGGTCCTGTATGCTTTTGTCAAACTGTCGGTGGTGTCAACAACTTGTTGCAAGCTTGAGCTGACGACCGGAGCAACACATTTCCACAAGTGCAGCTGAGGTTACTGGGGAGTACTATGTGAATTTGGCACCTGTTGCCTGCATGCGGAAGATCAAAGTCCCTGTCGGAGAGGGCTGCTTAGGTTCCTGGGATTCCTTTGTGCTTCATGACACTTACAATCAATTGCAATCAAGTGCAACCAAGTGCAATCAATCGCAATCAATTGCATACAATTGGCACCGGAAGAGACATGACATTTTAACTTTCCCCAGATCTGCCCAAAGTTGCCTAGTTACTGCGCAATAGGGCAGCAGCACAGACGAGACATTATGTGGAGCCATGCAGCGGCCAAACATGTGTGCAAGGAGAAAAACAAAGAAACTCCTGCACGTGTGTCGATCAACATGAGATCCCACTTGATCCCAAGACGGGCTGTGATATGTGTCCTTTCATCATCCGAGTACAACACGTTGCAAAACGGAAACGAAAATATGCAACTTTGATCAACTTTGCAAATTTTGCAAGCGCAATGAGGTTTAGACTTCGACTATCTGAATCCTGAACTCCGAGAGACAGTAACGCAACGTGGCCTTCCTGTGGCTACAGTGGACTCATCACAGGGAAAAGGACGGGGAAGGTATGAAACGGTGAAACACGGTGAAACATTCCTATATAGACCACACAGGTCCTTCAGACCTTGATGTGACGTTTCATCGTACCAAGCTGAGGAGAAACAAAAAGAATGTGTGGTCACTTGTGACTAGTTGGCCCCTTTGATGTCTTGCAAGTTCAATGGCATCTTAGGTGTTCTGCCCACGTAGAGTTTTCCGAGAGGGCTTGAGCTTTCTAGCCGAGATTCCTGAGCACGGAGATGATAGAGACATGCCCATACAAGTACTTCAATAATCTTAAATAATCTTAAATGATCTTCAATAATTTTAACTAATCTTAAATATATACTTATATATGAGGAGGTATATCTTACCATATGTCATTAGTTTATATTGTGTGTGTCTTAATCCTTCTCGATGACGAGTCCTTCAAGTGAATAGATAGCAACGGCACACGTGATAAGTTTTTTTTTGGATCTGTTACCTCAACTAAAGACATTGTCCTTCATATGAATGGCAACGACATGCACACGGAATAACATGGATAAACACTTCTTCTTTCTTCCCTTCTCCCTATCTTTGTGTCCTCTGTGCATGTTCCCTCTCACAGTGAAACCCCGCATATGTGCACATGCACGTCTATGTCGGCGAGCCCCACCGTTCTCAAACTATTGCTCTTGCCTTTGTGGGGCATGCCCTGATGTGCGGTACATGACATTTTCACAAGGCTTGCATGTTATAGTATGTTACTGCTACAGAACCCAGCATGTGTATTTTCCAGTCAGTGTAATTACTGTGAAGGATCTTCTATAAGAGTCTTGTCTAGCAATTAGTCAGGAGAGAGATGAATCTGCAGAGCTGGGTAAAGAGGGGAACTGCAGATTCAGATTATTGTAGGGAACTTTCTCTACTGCATAGCTGTACCCTGCCAAACTAGCGGTCTTCTGGTTTCCTTTCCCACTGTCCCCAAATTAACGAGATGTTGGAAGCTTGCAGGAAATCTGCATGCAAGTTCAGCAGAATGCTGGAGAGGTTGCTTGGAAGGGCGATCTGTTCTGACTCGATTGCAGCTTGGTCGATCTCTTCTTTTTATTTTGTCGCGGGACTCTGTCACTTGTTTTCTTTGATGGACTTTCCACTTTATTCTGAGATTTGTTCACCCTTGACCTGCTCAGACAATCGCGGTTGAATGTAAAGGTACGACTTCAATCGAAAACCTGGATCTTTGCCTATCGCGCAACGCATGATTGCGAAGCTGTTTCAATAGCTCTGAAAGCTGTCGCCCTCCTCTTTCTTTCTGGTCTTTGAAAAGAAGCCAAGTTTTCCCAGAGGAGCTCGGCTCGCGAGTCAGATTTTCGTATGAAAAATTCTTGCCAATGTGTTGCAACTGTTAGAATGTAACCGTCTTGGATTTCTTGGATGGATAGCTTGGTGGAAGGCACTGGAGCATAGAACATCATAGAACATTTGTATACATTTGTTACAACTTGTTGTGGGTTGTGAATTGTTGTGAATGCTTTGCTTACAGTCGGCCTATCCATTCTTCCACAGACGTGTTGCAGTTTGGCAGCGGGACCTAGCCAGAGGTGCTTGTGATGGTACTTTGTTAAAGCACCAGAAGATACATCGAGATATTCGGGACTCAGAGACTCATAGACTTATAATGACTTATAGATATATCACAGTGATTTACAGTGCATATCGCCGCGTGCTCATGAGCATGGAGCCACAGTATGGTGACCAAGGGGCTTGACCCTGGGAGAAGGCTGCCAACCCAAAGTTTCGCTTCTGCATTGACTTGGGAGCTATGCATAGCTATGCGATAAAGAGGGGAAAAACATGGAAAAACACAAAGAAAACCTCTTTGGCTGTGCCGACTGTCACTTATGTTCATTCCGAGCTTGATCCAGTCAAGTCCGACCCATGGTCTACTTGGAGTGATTTCGTTTACGGCCGCTCTCGAAGGGAGCTAAGGTCCGTGAGTTATATAGACGCGTGGCAGCAATTGAAACGCAAAGAAAAGCAGAGCCTCGAGCGAGCAGTGTGTTTCTCATTTTTCTCAATTCCTGCAAGAAAGGAAGCTTGAGGCTGAAGCTGTGCTCAATACATCGCTCAATGCTTTTAGATATGTGCCATGTGCTGGCCGAACTCGTAAGCAGGGTCAATTTGCATAAATTATCCACTGCATCATCACTCAGTAAAATATTTCAGGCAAGAAGTTCTTGGAGTCAGTTTCGTTCTGAACATTCCACATCAATATCTTGTAAGGTGCTGGAGAAATGACGCAAGAGGGTCAAATGTGGGGATGTAGGTGACGTTAACTTGTTGGCAGACAAATTCAGACAGATGACAAAGTTACTGCAAAGTCGAAGATGGTGGCCACAAAGCTTGGCTGCCTGGCCACAAAGCATGGCCATTTTGCAGGAGCCAAGTTCGCTGCAAACTTCAGCACTACTTGCCACTTCCCTCTCATGACTTGAAAAGCTGCATTTGTTTCTAACAACTTTGAGGAACCCGAGGAATCCCTGACTTTTGCTGCCGCTCGCTTCATTGCAGGCGTGCTTTGGACTCTAGACATCGCTAGACATCTCTAAACATGTTAAATGTTAACCGAGACTTTTGCATGCATTTTGGCATTCATTTTGGTTGTCAAGACCTTTTCCATCTTTGCACCTGGGTTGTATGCATGTTTCTCATTGTTTCTCCACTTTTTTTTCCGCTAGATGTGTTGCAACCCCAACATGTTGGATATGGTTAGATTGAGTTCAATGGGCTTGGCAAAGTGCATTGTATGGCAGGAGCTTTGAAGGGTGAGCATGCGCAGGGAGCGCAGTATGCCTGCACTCTTCATGACTTGGCAGCCCAGGCAGACGTGGAGCGCGTTAGTTTGGTAGTTAGTTGGCTCTTCGGGGACTCTTCCGTTTGCGTTTGAAGAAGATGGCCCCTGGCACTTCCAACGAAAGCCATCCGTATTTGATCGAATCGTTCTTGGACTGACTTGCGAAATGGTGAATCCAGCAAGGATTTGACACAAAGGCTTAAGCATGTGTAGCACCCTTTTTCATTTTTTCTCGCATCATCACCGTTGTTGTTGGTTGTTTGTTTGTTTGGTTGATTGTTGTTGTTTGTTTGGTTGGTTGATTGTTTGGTTGATTGTTTGGTTGATTGTTTGGTTGCTTGTTGTTGTTTGTTTGTTTGTTTGTTTGTTGGGTTGGGTTGGTTGGTTGGTTGGTTGGTTGGTTGGTTGTTTGGTTGTTTGGTTGCTTGTTGGGTTGATTGTTGGGTTGATTGTTGTTGATTGTTGTTGGTTGTTGTTTGTTGTTGTTGTTGTTGTTGTTGGTGGTTGGTTGTGGGTGTGGTTGTGGTTGTGGTTGTGGCTGTGGCTGTGGCTGTGGTTGTGGTTATTGTGGTTGTGGTTGTGGTTGTGGTTGTTGTTGTTGTTGTTGGTCATTCTTTCTAGTTTTATGATGTTTGATGTATTTTGCTGTGCTTTCCATCTGCTTTCCTCGCTAGCCACAACATGCCGCAACAGTCCGGGTGGTGATGCGCTTCTCAACGACGTAGGTCTTCGTGGTGCGTCATGCGTCTGACTTGAGTGCGGCGGTCTTCCGCTTGGCGCAGCATGCTTTGTCTCTGCCTTTGGCCCCAAAGGCTCCAATTAATGCCGAGGCGCCACAGGTTGAACATGATCTGAACATGGATGACCTAACCTAACATGGTTGATTGAACATGGTATACAGTATAATGAGCGAGTCTTATTTTTAGCAGCCAAGCTACTTTATCCGTGAGGTGATGGCAGCGGCTTGTGCTTCTGTTGCAGGCTTGGCCGAGCTCGAGGCACAGCCGCTCAGCCCGTTAACTGCACAAGCAGCTGCCAGCTGCAGTCACTGCAGTCACTGCTGTCACTGGAGTCCTTTTCCTGAGCTCGTCGAATCGTCGAGTCGACCCACCCTGCCGCAACTGCCGCGCCACCAACGCCAGACTGGGAAGTCTCATGTGCTCCGTGTGCTCGAGGACACGCGACGAGCAGCAAACGCATCAAACCTTGCTGTGCAGATGACCTTGGACTTGTCACTCTTTGCCACTCAAGTCGTTGAAACATGCTGAATTTGTACATGTTTATACCATCTTTATGTAAAATGCACGATTTTGGCGACTGAAGCATGTGAACATTTTTGTTTTTTCCAAGGCAGCTGAATCATGCTGCGTCTTTTGCTAGGAGCTTGCCAGGCATGTCATCATTTTTCAAGCCTTTGCTTACAGCTTCATTTCACGCACTGGGTTTGGCCAAATCAAAGGCGAGAGGCTCAGTGCATCTCAGTGCTTGAGTTGTCATGAGTCGTCATTGAGTCATCAACGGACCATTGACAACATTTGATAACCACATTCTTGGCACGTTTTGGCACCGCGACCTGCGCCCTAGGTCTCGATGAAGCCACTTACCGCATGCAGGCTCAGAGTATTCACTGGAGAGAAGAGGTTAGAAGAGATGAGACAAGAAAGTCATAGAAAATATATGAAAATATGGGAGCGCTTTATGGCATAGTCTATGCATAGACTGTGCATAGACATGCTGGAGGGATCAGCTCACAAATCTTCGCAAGGCTTCGTTGGCAGCTGCTGGTGTTTGGCTGCTTACTGCCTTTGGACGATCAGTGGATCAGAGCCGCCAAGCATCAAAGACGATCAAAAATAAAACAGTCATACCAATTTAAAAGCGAACAGCTTAAATTTGTCATAGTTTACCGGTGGAACAGTGGCTGAACTCACAGAGGTGTTGATGGGGAGAGAGAGATGCTAGCACTTTTGAATTTGTTACATTGTGTCCGGAGGTTGGGAGTTCTCTAAAGTTTGGCGTGCTAAACTGGAGAACCTTTTTATGGTCGGTGACGCTTGCATCCACATCCACATCAAACGAGGCCTGAATGCGTCCACTCTTTGGGAGTGGGCCAGTGGAGATGCTCTGTATGCTTGCTCTGTGGTGAGAAATACCTTGACTTTGGAAGAGAGACTCAGACTGCAGGAATTCAATAGGAATTCAATAGGTCCTATTTAGGTGCAATGCTGCAAAGCATATCCATATATGACTCATATGACTGTGGTCTGGCTGCTCACATTCTGTCAGGGCTCTGTTATTAATTTGCCGCTGGCTTTGCGGATTGAAACTCGGATTGAGCTAAGACTTGCCGACGTGGCATCCCCCCATGGCTTCCAAATTCCTGGCGAGTTGAGCCGCAGCCTCAGATGACACCATGACACCAGAGCACCAGATGACAGCTTCTGTACACCCAAAGCGCGAAGATGGGCAGAGTCTGGCAGAGTATGGCAGAGTGGTCAATTTACTTTAATTTGAGATTGACAGTGTTGGCAATAGATTCAGATAAGATCAGATAAGAAGGTTTGGTTGTGTTATACTGATCGCAAGCCCTTTTGAACAGATGCTTTTCCGTCGTGTCTATTCTGGTTGCTTCGCGACGACAGCCGCCCGCACCGGAGTGTTAGCTCCGGAATTCCACTAAAACAATATTTCTATGATGAGCCTTTGAAGATTTTGAAGGGCTCATGTTGGGAGTATATTGAGCCATGTTGGGCCCATGTTGGGCCTATATTGGGCCTGTGTTGAGGCAGATTGGGCCATGCTGGGCATATGTTGGGTTGATGCTGAGTTTGTTGGGCCTTTGGCGCGGCATATTGGGATATGTTGGGCCATGTGGGGCCTATGTTGGGCTATGTTGACCAAGTTTTGGCAACTTGGCCGATTTTAGGCCCCTTTAAAAGAGTCGAAAAATACATGATTCTAGAGAAATAAAGCCTATCCCCAAGATTCCCCAAGCTAAAGCTTAATATGTAGTTGTTGCCGCAATTGCTCGTTGTCCGCGCCGCGCGCGCGCGCACGCACACACACACACACACACACACACACTAGACAAGAATGGATCATTATATGATCCGGCAGGAACTGAATCCTGAAACATGCAAACCAGCCTAGATTATTAGATGAATAAAAGAGCCACATGAGGTACTTCTCGCAAACGATGTAGGGCATCCGAAATTGTCAAACGTAGTCATAACCAGATTCCATAGAGTTTTGACCAGCATGTGGAAATCCAAAATAATGTTTCGGCGATTGTTTCCCAAAATAACCCATAGTTCGTCGGCGACAGGGTCTCGGCGAAAATAAGTCAAAAAACATAATACTGTCGGCGATATGGTTTCGGCGAAAATCTGAGGAAGGTTCTGATGCATGTAAATGTCAAAATTGGATTCCAGATTGCGTCAACAGTGCAGTAAATTGAAATTTCAAATGGAGTTGTGGAGGTTCTTGGGTTGAGCCTCTTCCCATTTCAGTAAATTGACGTCAGACCGTGATATTCAAGCATTGGATAGGTGTCTTCGTTGGCACCTGACCTATCCATGCTCTCAGGTGCCCCCTGCAAATTAGTGAAAACCAATCAGAAGTTTTACATCTGTTCAGATGGTACACACACACACCTCGCATGTAGCGAGGTCGGATTTTTTGGAAGAACTTCGCTGGCGGAATCGGCAAGACACCAGTGAAAGTGAACCTGTAATAACCTAATGTACAAAAGGGCGGTCACTTCAGTCAGAAGAGGAATTCGGAGCTTGTAGAAGGACTTCCATAGCATCGTGGAAGCTCATGCGTTCAACCATCGCCCAAGTCTGATCGAATTCCCCCGATGCCGTAGCAGCCTTCAAGGTGTCAGATAGATCTTTGGCTAATTCATGGATCCGGGTGGTCAGCCTTGGTTCATCTCCAGGAGATGTCGTCTCAATGGGCACATTGTGAAAAGGATGGTGTCCATGTACAAGGGGAATCTCAAAATGATGTCGCCAATAGTCCGCTGTGCGCAGGGACCACTCCCAGTTGCCGGAGAGACCATAGAAATAGTGTTCAGGGTCACGACATCGGGAATGCCCTAACAAAGGAATTTCTTCAATGAATAGCTCCCTGGTGTTGTTGGAGTGGGTAATGACCTTGAATTGGATCTGGTGAACCACGCGAGAAGAGAACTGAGCACGATGGAAGTAGTTGTGTGTAGAACTTGAGTCTGTCGGAAATGGAACGCCAGGAGGTGCTGGTCCTGAATATGTATCAGAATGGGCCAGTGTACCCGTAGCAGGTGCCATACTGTCAGTTACCAAAGGTGCCGGAGTAGGGTTGGTCGTAGTGTCGGGAGCTCCTGAGTGACATAGTGCAGAAGTCGAGGCGTCTGGTACTTGAACTGGGTCGGTAGGAGCGAGTCCACGAGTAGAGTTCGCAGGCCAAGACAAGCCCGCCACGGTCGCGTCTCGTTTGTGTTCCATGGGTGAAACTGTCACAAATACGAGAAATAGTGCGACAACGGCTGAAGCATCAAGAATAGCAGAAGAAAGCCAATCCCGAAATTGATAATATTCACAAAAATGAAAAAAGTGAAATCCAGTCCTCAATCAAGTGGGTCAGTTGCGACGGAGAAGCCACAGCTCCAAGTCAAATAAAATAGAAATCGAAAAATCCTTTGTGTTAGTGGGGTGTCAAGGAGGAATTGAAAACCCTGTAGCATGGTCTTTTTTGGCCGGCTAGTGCATCAGGGCAGGATCACACCGGAGCTAATTTTGTAGCATTTCAAGCGTAGTACGAAAGGCTGTCTGGTACCCGGGATGAGGAAAGAGGATTCGCGGGAATTGTACTGCCGAAGTCGCCACTCAGGTCGGTATGCCTCCAAAAGCTGCAAGACCGTCATATCATTGGAAACTTGGAATGTATCACCGTCCAAGTCGCAAAAGCGAAACTCCAGGTTCGAGGGATCAATTTGGATGTCCCATTGGGACCTCAATCTTTTGGAGATACAAAAGCGGAGTTCGGCAATTGGGATGAGGCCGGCTTCAACTGGTTCCATCTGACGTGACCAGGTAAACAAAGCTGCAAGTTCAAAGCCACTGACATGTCTAAAATTGGAGTTCACCAGAGCCATGTAGTGTTCACGGTCAGGTTCGCTTCGGTGAGTCAATGCCTGTAAGGGAGAGAAGTCAACCAAGATAAGGACAGGTCTGTTTGGAGGAGGGTTCACATCACCAGGGAGGCCTCGATGTCCAGCAATCCACCCAACGGTTCGTGTACCAAGCGGTGTCTCAATCGTAGATGTGGCGCGATATGGATTGGGTCGAGAAGAACGAGCCATTGCGTCGAATGTGAAGTATCGAGGATAAAGCGCAAAGCCCAAGCTGCAAAATGGGTTGGAATAGCCACAGGAACAAGCACAAAGTGTTAGAAATAAAAGAGAAACGGTGTACCTAGTAAATGGTCACACAAAGAGACGATGAATCACAGGTCTTTTTTCCGCCGACAAAGAATGTGGTATATTACACACTTGAATCCGACATATCCATCGGGTCAATATCGTTCGCATCCAACGGACCATGTACTTGTTGAGGAGGGACAGCGGGGCGAGTGAGATATACAGTACGGTGTAGTGTTGCCGGTGGGGAAGACGGTGGTGTAGACCGCCAAGGTGGCCAATATAAAGAGGTAGTGGTTCCTTGAGAATGGTGTTGGGCGGAGCGTCCCCAGCATGACTGTAAAATATGGAGGTGGTCCGGTATCGCTTCGTACGGCTGTGAGACATGGACGTTGGAGTGTTCAGGGTGTGGTAAAACGGGAACAGTAGTTGCCGTAGGGGAGGAGGATGATGGTTGAATTGGTACGTCATAGTATCTGCGCCAATGGTTGGCTGTAGTACGCAAGGTTGCCTGGTCGTTGGTGAGGTGCATGTTCTCCAGGAATGTTTCCACTGGTTTCCACGTTTCAAGACCATCAAGTGTCCTTTCCACGATCCAAAGTTCATCTGAACGGTTAGACAAAGGATAGCTCAGCTTCTTGATGAAGACGGAGTGGACAGTGGTAGAGGTCGGAATCATTCTCGCTGCACGAGGAATATAGGATGCCGAGGTAGGATCATCCGGTGGCAAGTGTGAGGCAAGGCCATGTATGGATGTAGGTGGTGAACCGTGCGAGACCAATCGAGCAGGATCATCCGTGTTGGAGGTCATCATGTACGATCAAAAGAATATGATAGCGGGAAATACTAAACTGAAGCCAAAAGGCC